GATGAAAGAAAAGTATACACCTGCAAATCTTTTCTTTTATCAATGTTATTTGAAAGTTACACAAGTGTCCCTGAAGTTATAAAAGGAACTGAACAAATACAATATGTATAATGTTTTATCATTTATTATATAAATATGCTTAAAAAATAATCAAACATTATTGTAAATTGTTAACAAAAAAATATTAAAAATGAGAAAAACACAGTCATAACACTGAATAATCTTGTAATAAAAACATATGTCGACGCTACTCTACAAAATAGTTCACTATTTTAAACTACAGCTAAATATTTGCTGTAAATATCAAAAACCAACCTTAAATTTGTCAGAAAATATAAGAAAAGAAAAATAATGATATTCTTTAAAACAAGAACATATATTTTTAAAGCTGTAATCTGAAGAGGAATAAAAAACAAAACAAAAAAACATAGACACCCAGGAGACTCACTCAAGTGGAAGGTTCTGGTGAATGCATGATTAACACTCATGCATAGTGTGGAGATGAACAGAGACTCAATTTAGAACTTCGTACATACATCTTAAATTATATCATTTACTAAAAAGTTTTCCAGCTTTTTCTTCAGCCACCCCGAAACCATGACTGAAAAATCATGGTTTATTGGTGGTCCTATTATTCAGTTCAGGAACAACTGTAGATATTTTTAGCCTAACAATGCATACAGTGTTTATTGATTGCAAATTATACCTTTAAATGTATAAATAGTGCAACATTCATGTTCCAATGAGTGGTCTCAGTAATGTTGATTGGTAGGGCACTGTAACCAATATCTGGAAATAAAAGTATTGCTGGTTTGAATTGTACTGTCATAAATTGTTTCTGCTTTAGGATTCACAGAAACCTTTCAGTAAAATATGTAATATATAATACATACATGTATCAATCTTTGTGGGTAATGAAATTAAAACTACAAATATATTATTTAACCGATATGAAATATACATATGATGGTAGATATGTTTTCTATTCTTGTTAGCAATGGCGTAGTGCTGCCTAAATGTGGTGAAATTAGGAGGATATCTGGTCTGTGTTTTTTAGTGGGACCTAAATAGTTCTGTGACCCAATCCTGATGTATTCAATCCTTGATTAAAGCATCATATCTTTATATCTAAAAAAAAACATAAAGAAGTGTCATGATTATTATTCTGCATGGATTATTAATGATAGTATCATTATCATTTTATTCTTCTATCTGGTGCAACAGGTTTTCTGTTTTTATGTATTTTTTTGCTTAAATGTTGGATAAAATTAACATAATCTCAGATTGGCTACAAGTCTTGATCAAAATTTTTGAAAAAATATAAATAAAATTTGAAAAACTGTTTTCATAATAACTTTCATAATAATTTTCCTAGATATTTTCATCATTAGTTTAGAAAGATTTCACTTTACATACCTGGATTAAATAGTTTCTCATCCCATGTATATAACATTTTCCTATTTTTTCTTTTCCTGACTGGAGTTCCAGAATCATTGTGACTAATATCTGTCTTAAGTCTTTTGCTTGGTTGTCCACTGGATTCAGTAATAATCTTTCTCTTGCTGAAATGAGAATCAACTTTCTGCTTACTGAGATGAGAATCAACTTTCTGCTTGCTGAGAGAAGTAACAACTTTCTGCTTGCTGAGAGAAGTAACAACCTTCTGCTTGCTCAGAATAGTATCAATTTTTTGCTTGCTGAGAGGAGTAACAACCTTCTTCTTACTGGGAGGAGTAACAAACTTCTGCTTGCTCAGAGGAGAAATAACCTTCTGCTTGCTAGGGGAAGTATCAACCTTCTGCTTGCTGGGGGAAGTATCAACCTTCTGCTTGCTGGGGGAAGTATCAACCTTCTGCTTGCTCAGAGGAGTAACAACCTTCTGCTTGCTAGGGGAAGTATCAACCTTCTGCTTGCTGAGAGAAGTATCAACATTCTGCTTGCTGAGAGAAGTATCAACCTTCAACTTGCTGGGGGAAGTATCAACCTTCTGCTTGCTGAGAGGAGTATCAACCTTCAGCTTGCTGGTGGAAGTATCAACCTTCTGCTTGCTCAGAGGAGTAACAACCTTCTGCTTGCTGAGAGGAGTATCAACCTTCAGCTTGCTGGTGGAAGTATCAACCTTCTGCTTGCTCAGAGGAGTAACAACCTTCTGCTTGCTGAGAGGAGTAACAACCTTCTGCTTGCTGAGAGGAGTAACAACCTTCATCTTGATGAGAGGAGTATCAATCATCTGCTTGCTGTGAGAAGTATCAACATTCTGCTTGCTGAGAGAAGTATCAACCTTCAACTTGCTGGGGGAAGTATCAACCTTCTGCTTGCTGAGAGGAGTATTAACCTTCAGCTTGCTGGGGGAAGTATCAACCTTCTGCTTGCTGAGAGAAGTATCAACCATCTGCTTGCTGAGAGAAGTAACTGAAGTAAA